AAGCTTAAGTACCGGGTCAAACAGGAATTATCAGTTAATAATAGCTAAACAATAAATATTACAGTTGGAACCTCATTGTATTTAGAACTTGGTTATAAGTACAACCTTCCTACGCCTATTGGTACACTGTATTGAAAAAACAACAACAAGCAAATAAGTAAAGAAAAAAATTTCAAAAAATGATGTAAATGTAGGGATGGCTAATATCATTCTTTTAAAAACAATGCAAACAAGATAGTGGGAATGGCATTTGCCCCGGGAAGAATTAACGTATAGCAATATATATGTAACTATTCAATCACAATTGAGTTTAATTTATCCTATTTTGCCTGTTAACATTCAACTGCACTGTGTGCCTGTGCTATTATGTAGGGATGATACAAATGCCATCCCTACTATCTTGTTTGGATTGTTTTTTAAGGAACACTGCATAACCTAAGAATTTGTATCGATTATTTAATGTAAAAATTATCTAAAGGGATGAAGAGTAAGATTTCCGTTGACTTTTTCAATAGAAAAAAATATATTTAACATCCCATTTTAAAAGTTGTTACAAGAAGAAAACAATGGAAAATCAACGTAATAAAAAAAAAGAAGCCAGGAAATGTTTTATTGTTGTAATAACGGATTATTGTGCTAGTATTGTTGGCTTGTAAACGTTATTTTGAAACTGAGAACCCAATAAATGGAGTAAAACGTGTTATTTAGACTTATTTATAAAGTTATCAATTTGTAAGGAACTGGGCAAGTATATGGCTTAGATCAGGCTTCTTTTTTTTTTTTAAATACAACATACTTTCCGTGAGGATAATAAAAATTATTGTGTTTGCCAGTAGACAATGTATATTTGAGGATTCTACATATTTCATAAAATTAAATCGTAAATTTATATGAAAAAAAATTGATTATCAAAGCGCTCAAGTTCCAAGGCTTGGTGTAACAAAAACAAAGATTACTAAACTAAAAGCTTTACAAATACAAATCGTTTCAGGGTACCTTTTAACCATTTTTCTTAACACCCACAAACAGTGTTAACTGTTCGTATTCTGTTTGTTTTTGCAGGTAAGTTAATTGTGCAGTATTACAAGAAACCCAATAATACTGTAAAATTCATGTTACATGTTTTCCTAAGTTGCAATACATAGTCCGAGAGTGTTATATATATACAAGTTATCGACTAAGGGCTTAACAGGATGTGACGTTTGGGCAGGTTTGTATAAAGTAAAAACCATAAGTATACTTGTAGCCTATTAGTTCTCAGGGGAAAGGGTCCAAAAATCCAATGAAACTAAAACCAATTAGCCTTGATCAAACATTGATGGAAATGGGATGGAGATGGAGGGGAACTTGACGAATGGAGGCAGGAAAGATACGGCGAAGTGTAAACGATTAAGTTAAGAGTGGTTGGCTAATGGAAACCTTTACTCCTTGCTGTACCACCAAGCACGTGGTTGTATTCTTGATAAGGTTATTTATAAAGACAACTGCGGCCAAATGTCAGAAACCTTAGCCACCTTGAGGTCTTTATAATCAATTTAGCCTGTGCTCCTATCTCAACCACTTACCTTTCCTCTAGTTACATGACAGCTTGAACGAGGATAGTACTGCCTATCTGTCTGTCTATACAATACACACACACATATGTGCATGCTTATGTTTTATGATAACCGCTGAGCTACTAACGTATTTTAATTCACTGATCATAGTACTATAATTATACGAAAAACCTGTATGTACACACACACACACATGTCATGTTATTATTAGCTTTTCGTAAGGTAAGAGTATAATATACAAATTTTAATAATAATAATACACAGAATACCAAATAAATTTGGTTATTATTTACTTTCTCACAAAAAACAACTTCAACATTTTTTTTTAAACCATAAGAGTAAAGACGTCTATAAAACTATGTGAAATGGATCAGAATCGGTTGTAATTTCTAGATAAATATTTTGTTTTCTATTTATAAAAAGCACACCAGTGATTGAAAGAGGTCAGTGGGTTAGAACATAAACTGAAATATGTAGAAGGAGCATATTTCTTTGGAAGTTTGAGGGGAGCTCTGAGCGCTATCAGCAGGGGGTATCTTTGACAGTTGTCTCTTAAAGAATGGCCGATTTTTAAAGCACGGATAGACAGTGGTCCTAGTAAAGAAAACATAAGCTTATCTCCGTACAGTGGAAGTGGCACGAAAAACAAAGAACAAAAGATTTTCTGGGAAAGCTCTCTAGCCTTGTGTAATCCATTTCCATCAAGTTCTTTAGACCCAGCAAAGTCTGACGGTTTACCAGCAATTTACCTCGAGGATAACAATTCACTCAGAACACCATCACGCGCTTCACCTGACGTAGCTGGCCAATTTTCTACTTTTTAACGGAGTTGTCAGTCGGCTCCCTAAATACATTAAATGCTCCTTAAACTTCTGTATTGAACGTCGGGTCTTTTTGATACCTTATTGAAACAAGCTTTGTGCACTCAGAGATCAAGATAAAACACTTACTGCTGCGGCTAACATGGGCTCGCTCTTTTACACCCGAAACCAAAGTGTCAGCGTAGACGACCAGGGCGTGCGGTACAGAGGCCGGCGCCGCGGGGTCGAATCTCCCGCAGATTGCAGGGTCTGTGGGTGGCCCACACACCTCACGAGATCTCTGTCTTACGGGCCGCACAGCCCTCCCTCTCCACTTCTCCTCCCCCTCTGAAGTGTGTGTGGTTCTGCTTGTTCCACCTTTAAATTTTATGAGTAATTTCTTTACCTCCCTCACTAAAATGATGGACCCAGTACAGTAGAAGTCTTAATATGCTCTGTCTCCTGGTAGTCAGTGTCAAAACTTAGAAACTAGAAATCGCTTTTTATTTGTGTATGGATACGCCCTAGGAATGGTGAATGAGTTATTTCAGAGTGACGCGGATAAAGATTTCAGGGTGGAATAAATAAAAATCACTTGTAAAGATACTAAACCCATACTTTCCACCATTCTCATGTAATTCTCACCTTAATGTTTTATTCTCTAATAGTGTGACGTTTTAATTTTCGACTTATTGTTCATTCATTCTAAGACAAACCTACGCCTAAGATTAATTACCCAACGCTTTTCGATTTTCGATTAATCATGCTAACAGTTTAGCAAGTGCACGAAGGTAGGGAAGCTCTATTGACACGGTATGCAACTTTGAGACATAGCAAGTGCACGAAGGTAGGGAAGCTCTATTGACACGGTACGCAACTTTGAGACACCGAGTATTTGATGGCTTCCACATAACTGTTGGTTATCCCATTTAATATAAAGGCCACACATACACATACTATTGTAATGATAAACAAGATTTTATATACCTTTAAGATGTTTAAGATAGCTCTGCTATCTTAATGTCCGTTAAGAGGTTTCAGGTAGATGGAGCTTCGTTTTTATGTTTTCGTAATTTCATCAGTCATCGTAATAAAATTTAATTATCTATGATTAGAAATATAAATTATGTGAAACTGTTTCGTACAGGAGAAACAGAACCAGTGTTTATCGAACAACGCTGCCCGAAAGAATTTTTAATACTAACAACGTTGTGGAATTATGTTCTTGCTATCCTAAAATATAACATTAAATTACGAATTAAATTATTTCAACCATACCCTCTGATCATTTCGCCTGGTTTTAAGGACATTTTGAAACAGTGACGTTGACGCAGAAATGTTATTTATAGACATAAATAAAGTCAACAAATGCATGGGTGTTTGTGGCAACGACGACGTTTCAAACGCTGCGGCTATGTTTCTGTTCTAAGTGAGTTCCTATAATTCCCTTAAATGGGATGATGATATGACAGTCAGAAAAGACAGGTTTAATTCGATTGTTACTTTTCTATCATATACATATATTATTTTGGTAGTGAAAATTAAACTATATGACAATGATCAGAAACTATTATTTGTTGAGCATAAAGCTGCACAAGAGTTTACCCGTGTCTTGTCTACAGCGGGTATCGAAACCCAATTTTTAGAGTTATAAGCCATAAGATGTACTGTTATACCACCGGAGCAGACATAATGGCAAAATTACGTTTTACACTTCTGGTGAAGAGTTATAATTTGTATCTAAATATTGTCTGCAAATATGCTCATTTGAGGTTATTCAGTTGCAAAGCTTCTATAATGTATCCGTGAGAGGTTCGAAATTATTCACTTACATAGCCATTATAATGTATCCGTGAGAGGTTCGAAATTATTCACTTATATAGTCCTTATAATGCACCCGTGAGAGGTTCGAAATTATTCACTTACATAGCCCTTATAATGTACCCGTGAGAGGTTCGAAGTTATTCACTTATATAGCCCAGGTAATGTATCCGTGAGAGGTTCGAAGTTATTCACTTATATAGCCATTATAATGTACCCGTGAGAGGTTCGAAATTATTCACTTATATAGTCCTTATAATGTACCCGTGAGAGGTTCGAAATTATTCACTTATATAGCCCAGGTAATGTATCCGTGAGAGGTTCGAAGTTATTCACTTATATAGCCATTATAATGTACCCGTGAGAGGTTCGAAGTTATTCACTTATATAGCCCAGGTAATGTATCCGTGAGAGGTTCGAAATTATTCACTTATATAGCCCAGATAATGTATCTGTGAGAGGTTCGAAATTATTCACTTATATAACCCAGGTAATGTATCCGTGAGAGGTTCGAAGTCATTCACTTATATAACCCAGATAATGTATCTGTGAGAGGTTCGAAGTCATTCACCTATATAACCCAGATAATGTATCTGTGAGAGGAATGAAATGTCAATAAACAGACGTTTCTCTGTTTCGGTTAAGACATGCATTTCCCTACATTTCGATATCAATCAGTATATTGATAGAAAAATTGTAAAAAAAAAAATGTTTTGTAAAGTGTGGTAAAGAAACATTTGGCCTTAACTGACTAACGTATTTTTAAGGTTAAAAATAGCTTGGACAGGTTGTTTCGGTACATTCAGGAAGAAAACCACTAAATAAATTACAATCATTCTTGTTGAATTAAGTGAAAGCGTGTCCAACTCTCATAGCATCGAGATTTGGATCGCTTCCGGAAGACGAAAAAATAACTTAATATCTTTAAACAACTTATACAGATGAAACATGGCTACGCTGAGTTGTGTAACTCAATACACAATAAACAATCAACACATTCAGACTAAAGGAAAACCTGTTTTTAAACAAGTTAAAATGGCTTTAATCCAGAAACCTTCTTTTTCGTCTTCTATTACCACACATCAGGTAATATTTTGCACGAGATCAAGGTTTGAAGTTTTGCTTTTTTATGTTTTGAATTGTACCGTTAATCATAGTCTTCCTCCAAAAGCAATTATCGTTGGCAAATTTTAATTCTGTTACCGTAGTAATATGTATATTCTTTTCGTTCTTCTAAAGTTACAAAATGTAAGTTGTGCTATTTCTTTTCACAAATTTCGTTTCAGTTGGTCTGTGCTTTGTGTCTGCAGTTTAAAATTAAAACAGAAGCATTAAAAGGAAACGGTTGACCGTGTTTGGAAAATTACGCCAACTTGTAAAGTATTGCAAAAATGGGTCAAAAGTTAAGACGAGAAAAATAACACAGGTAGCTAGGTAATTGTTCTTTTTGAAATTATTCATTTATATGCGTTAGCACAAGTGGGTATCAGATGTTAGTTATGTTCGCCAATTGTCAATTAAAGGCTTTTACTCATATTTCTTAATAGTAGAAATATATACTGTGTTGTTGTTGGGCTTAGGATTATTCTTCAGCAGGCTTTTGTTGGCGATAAATTCAATATATTCAATTAATAATACCTACACCAAACAATCCTTTTATATCATGACAGTGGAACCGCAATAATAATATGTGAAATTAATTGCAATATTGATGGTACCTTTGTTTACTATATTTTTCTGTGACTTATATTTTTGTTTGTTATTATGCACAAATCTACGAAATGGGCTATTTGTGCTCAAACCACCACGAGTGTCGAAACATGATCTTTAGCATTTAACAGAACCAACTTATGGTTTGGAAAGTTAATGTGAGCCCAGTTTTGTTTATTCGTTTTTGTTTTTACTTTATATTGTGCTTTGTGTTTGAAATATTCAACTATAGTCTCACGCAATCATTGTTATAATTATATGACTATTTACATCAGTATGTTGACATCCTATCACATAGTTTTAAAACATATAAAAAGCATTCTTATTCTCCAGAACACCTTAATTTTCCGTACCTTAAAATTACATAGTCTAAGAACGTAAGCACGCAGTAAAATAAGTGGACTTTTATTTACTAAGGCAAAAAAACAAAACATGGACCACCAGAATTGTTGGTCAAAATCAGGTTTTATTTTCGTTTATAGTTTCAAAGTATGTACTCAGTCTTATGAAATATCTGTACTTTACGTTAAAGCTATTTCAGTTATACAGTTAATCATGATTAATTACACTAAAGTAAACTATATATAGAGCTTTTGATCTCAAAAATATCTACGCTGTATCGTGGCTTATAAGTGCATCAGTTTTATGTAATAATTCGGGCCTAATTATTATCATGTTAGGCTGTTGATCCAATATTCAAATACGTAAACTTAATATTTAATAGTAGTGCTCAAATTATATATATACGTCAATTTACAGTTCATTGATGAACAATTTAAAGTCGAATAGTGGAAAAAATATTGAAAATAGAAATATAAACAAAAAATTATAGTCCCTATTTAGCAAATATGTACATTTTTAACTCAACATCGTACTTTCTGAATCATGTATACATATATATATAGAGAGAGAGAGACAGTTACTGTGTACTTAGGTTTCACATTAGTTTCCTATACATGGTGTATTCAAACTTCCACAAACATTGTATGAAAATCAAGTGTATTTCTTTGTGTACGTCACCAGTCAAACAATATAAATGTAATTTAAAATCTATCAATATTTATATCAGTAACATAGTATTATATTGATCATATGAGCAGAATATATATATATGTAGAAATTATGGATTAAACAGACCTTAGGAAATAATCAGACAAAGTCAGAGGGAGCGTTTTTAGTTAGATGTGCTTATTAGCTGATCATCTCAGTCATTTCACTGTAAGCTTTGCTAGTGTCCCGAATTTATCAATTAGTTTATTAGATAGAATAGAAGTTATTCATCATTACACGATTCTGTGGATAGAGCTTGAACACTCGCTCATTTTTATTAATTGAAGGTTTTCATTGCGCATTTTAAGCACAAATTCTTTTAATTCTGAGGGAGAACCAGCACTATTCTTGCTAAAGATTATGTGTTTAGTAGTGTTTGCAGAATATCAAGGTCTTCTAAAGACCACAGACAATAGGGTATTCTCGTGCTTGAATGTGTATATCGTATCGCACTAAAGATAATACGATTAAAAAAAGTCATGAAATTCTCAAGCTCATGTGGCTCCAAGCCATATTTGGTCACGGTTGGCTAAGTTTTTAAGAAAAACTAGCGGAAGCGCCACATGGCGAACTGGGCGGGCAAACTACGTCACACAAGGTAAACAAAAATGGCGACAGTAGGTGAAGAGGAAGATAGATGTAATATGTCAATTGCACCGTATATGTTTGAACCAGAGCTTGCAGCTGATAAAGTTGACATGTTGGCCGAAGTGGACGAGGACTGGCAGTTGTCTGTTCTTTCTTGGTATGAAACTGTTTCAATAGTTATATGTTACAATGTCATAAAAGACTGTTTTACACTGCTGATGTCAGGAAAATGTGAAAGTGTGGTCACATGAATGATAATATAGTAAATCTATGAGTAAATTCTAGTCAATATTTGTTTTTTCAAGTGATGGATCTATATCTAGATGTAGATCTGATATCAGCTGATGGACTCCCGATACTGAATTCTGCGCATAATCCAATTTATATGCATATGACTAAGTAAACATTAGGACTGAAAAAGAAACATAGCTTGGATAATATTTCAATAATCGATATTGTATATCTAGCATTTTTTGTGTTACATATTAATATCTCCAATGAAATTTCATAAAAAAAGTGTTATAAACATGAACAATTTATAAAAAAGAACAGCCAATTGTTTGTCTATGCCCTTTTTATTTCTTTTTTTTTGGTTAAATTTATGTTACAGCACATCTTCTGGTGTCTTTATAAAATCTGAATGGTTGCTAGCAATTCTATATTGAACTTGAAACATTAGCTAAAACTTAAGCTTGCCCGCATGCCTCTCGTTTTTTTTTTAAATAGCTGATCAGACACGACTATCATCGCTGTTATTGGTCTGTAAACAAGAGCGGGATGAGCCATTGGCATGAGCCTGGCTGCTGCTCGCCGTGCTTGATGGATTTCCCTCAAACTTCGGATACACACTGAGCACTGCAATTTTCTTTAGCGACAGTTTTTGTTGTTGTTGTTGTTTTGCAAATCCCATATTAAATTGTAGTTTATTTTCGAAGTCTGATTCCAAAATGTGTTCACTGCGTGCATGGCAGCTTTCGGCGGACTCCATTTATCACGAGTTCTTGATCCAGGCAATGTGTCGTTTTCTGTCTGACTTAGGTGAAAACTCCTGCAGAGATATCGCTTTTTCCTTGGGAATGTTCCCACATCCATAAACAACACAGGGTAAAATCCATAGTTGTTTACTCACGAATAATTGTCTAGAAAAAACACAAAAAAAACGAATTATTTTCACGTAAACAAACCGACATTTTTCCACGCACAGAGAAGAAGCCGACCGCGACTAGCCTTGTTTACCTTGAGTGACGTCACTTGCTTCTAACTCAATTTTTCAACCAAGCGATCGCAAAGGCTGGCCGTTGCACTAACTTTGGGAGCTGGCAGGGCCGGGTCGTGGGCAGATTATCGAAAAATGACTTGGTCTTAATCTTTAACTTATATTTCTACGGCACTTAAATATAAATACAAACTTATTGTGTTTTTAACTGTCCGACGTCTTTAAAACTTTCACACTTACACTTAAATTCCTCGTGATAGTGTTTAGAGTAATAGTGAACCAATTTATTATATTAACCATCACTGGTTTTACCTCCCATTATTTTAGTTCCAATTACACATATAGTTAATGTTAGCTACATAACATTCCCAAGATTTAACGTTATTTATTACTTCCTGTATCCAGCTCTGTTGCAGAGGGTAGTTAAAGTAAGAGTACTAAAGTTTTTAGACACACCATAAATTATGTTTAGCATGTTATTTTCTCTGTATTACACTTAACACTTTCATTCACGATTAGTTAGAATTGTGAAATTTTCATGGGCAATTCAGGTATTATTATTTTTTTTATTTATTGTATAGTATCTTCATAAACAACAGGTTTTAGTTGTAGGATGGGAATATGACTGCTAGAGATGTGTCGAATACAGGTGCCACTTGCCTCTGGTACTAGACAGTAGGGGTGGCTCAGTGAATTTTCTTTAGTCTTTGTTGTTGTTTTTTTTTAATTTCGCACAAAGCTACACGAGGGCTATCTGCGCTAGCCGTCCCTAATTTAGCAGTGTAAGACCAGAAGGAAGGCAGCTAGTCATCACCACCCACCGCCAATTCTTGGGCTACTTTTTTACCAACGAATACTTAGATTGACCGTCACATTATAACGCCCCCACGGCTGAAAGGGCGAGCATGTTTGGTGTGACAGAGATTCGAACCCACGACCCTCATATTGCGAGTCGAGCACCTTAACCACCTGGCCATGCCTGGCCGATTTCTTTAGTCAAAAGAAGGCTAGGAAGGAACTGACAAAACAAGCATGTTAAACTAAATTCAATTTTTCTCAATAGGTTTATTCTATGACAGTAGCTCAAACCGACAGCTAGTCATTCTGTGTTCCCTAGGCAGGGCATAATATATTATTTATTTATTGTTACTTTCATTAACAATATTGGTTATACTATTTATTTTTATTCATTGTTTATTATTATAATTTTACTATAAGAAGTGTTTGCACTGTTAGCTTAGTAGACGCATTTAAGACTAACCAAAATGTTCTAAGCTGGCCGAACATCGTGATATATTATTGGGATTACGACCGAAAATGTCGTTAACAGCGACAGTACTCAATTGATGAAACAATGCGTTCTAATCTTTATCAGTAGAAACATGAGAAAAGTATATTTAATCAACTATGCTGTTAGTCAAACTGATTTTTAATTTCGCTCTAAATACATAGATAGCTCTGATCGGAAATTAACATTAATAGACCTATTGTGCAAAATGATTTATTAGTAATTTCGCTTTATTGATTACGTTTTGGAAGAAATTAGTTTGATAAGAATTAACTGAAGATGTGAGATTAAACAGACATCATTACGTTTCTCTATAGAAGTTTAAAAATAGCTACACTTTCCAAAACGGTTGTGTTTGTGAAACTTTCCTATGTCTATAAACTTTAAGGTTAATCTACTTTAATAAGAGCCACAATATTGTGGTGTGTGCTTTTTGGAGATTATATATATATAACAATACCGAATGACGAGAGTCAAATATCTCAGAACTATAGTTTATTTCTTAATTGATAAATGATAAAAAGAAAACGGTACAAGTTGGCCTAAAAATTGGTTGGTTGGTCAAAACCAAACGCTATATTTGTTTGATTTGTTTAAGAATTTTTCGCGCAAAGATACACAAAAAAAGGTATCTGAGCATATTGACATCATTAATTTTGAACTAATAGACAGTTAGTCAGTCAGCAGCACCCATCGCACATTCTTGAACTACATTTGCCAGACTGAATAATGAGATTAACGTCTCCCTTGTTGTGCACCCACAGCTTCAAAGTGCAGTGTGCGTTCTAGCCACTGGGCCACGCTCGTCTTCCAAAACGCTATTTATGCTTAAATAAATTACTAGCATCAACTACATACGGCTAAAAAACCAACATATTAATTCATATATAAGCTTAAATGTGCATAATATTTACGTAAAATAGTTGATAAGATGAAAACATTGAATAACGTATTGGTCAATTGAAACAAAAATTGACACTACAGCCATAATGAAGAAGTATATTAAACTAGCATCTAGGGGGATTACCCTAATTATCTGAAACTAAATCTTTAAATATATGATAATATACGTAGTAACCAGCTTCCTATGTGTTCATTGGAAATGCATGTTTCTCTAGAAATAAACGTGTTCATCGAGTAAGTAACCTGGAAAATTGTGTCCTATTAATGTTAAAAGCTCGAGTGATTTCAAGACATCCTCACTATTAGTTGTCGTGGTTACATTATTAATGAAAAGCTTGAAAGAGAAAACACTTAATATTCCTTTATAAGACAGCTCAACTTTTACCCTTGGGAGGGGTGTTTGGAAGCGGTTCACCAACACAATTGTTTTCAATTATCTTTATGTTCTTATATTCCTAGTCAATCTATAGCAGATGTACAATTAATGGCGTGAGTATAAAACATACAATTAGGTAGAAAACTTTGAGGCAGTATATCACGTGCGCGTTCAAGAACTAACATGAAAGTTGCTCTACCAGCACATACACACTCTCTATAAAACTAAATATAGGACTTCTCCCCTGGGTCTAATTCTCGTGATTACCAATACATTTTATGTGTATATGCTGGTTTCCATTGTTATAGAGCATACGTCATGTTGGCTAGTATTAACACTTAAGCCCAATGATTGCATTTTACAACGAATATAAAGTGATTAAATATTGCAACTACTCACATGTAAATCGAGTTTTATCCCAACAAAACACATTTTATTTTGTGTTATTTTAACTCTGTGCACAGTTCAGAAAATAACATGGCCCGCCATGGCCAGGTGGTTAGGTCGCTCTACCCGCAATCTGTGGGTCGTGGGTTCCAAACCCCCTACACCAAACATGCTCGCTCTTTCACCCGTGGGAATGTTATAATGTTACGGCCAATCACAGTATTCGTTGGTAAAAGAGTAACCCAAGAGTTGATGACTAGCTGCCTTCCCTCTAATTTTTCACTGCTTAATTATGGACGACTAGCGTAGATAGCCCTCGTGTAGCTTTGCGCGAAATCCATAACAAACAAACAAACAAACAAAATAACATTTTGTTGTTGTTGTTTTCTGCCTACCCTCATCAAGTGAGTAGGGAAACAAAGTCGACTGGTCATGAATGACATTATCTATAATACAGGATACCAAGCTAATCAAGCCAAATCAGATTGTTGAAGTTAATAATGGACCATGGAAGGGTTAATAACAGTTCGGTTTGGGCATATAAATGTATATTTCATAAATTTATCTTTCATATTAATAAGAAAAGAAAAAAAAACAACTCACGACAAACATACTTGTACGCCAATTTAGGCCAATTTTCTTCAGTTCATTTATAAATGCCCCCCTCCACACACACACACAGTGGCACAATGGCATGTCTGCGGATTTCAATATCCGTAGTGGGAAGAGCACGGATAGCCCTTTGTGTATCTTCATGCTTAATGACAAACAACAACACTTTTAAATTTATCTTACAAATTATTCAGAAATATCCTTTGTACATTTAGAACATAACGCTGAATGTTATTCAAGGCATGAGACCTATAGGAGGGTCAGGTACACTATGGACCTCTTCCTCCTTCCTTTTCTGTTGTCTTCTTTTCTCATGACACTGATGTACTAGTAATATACCCCTTTATTTTGCTTACTCGCGGAGATTTAATGTTTCTGGCAATTGTCTACAGATGTTTTGCATTAAAATAAACTTTTCGTCCATGTTCATTAAATGGGTACTATTAATTATAGTACTTATAGTATTTGGCACTTGTGTATAAAGTTAAAATCATAGACAATATTCAACGTTAAACTGGTACACAATTAAAAACATTTTATTTAGGCCTATCTGAGGATGACGTTGTAACGTAGAAACACGTAGAGTCGTCAACTTTTTGAAGGCCATATTAAGGCCTAAATAAAATGTTTTCAACTGTGTACCAGTTTAACGTTAAATATTATTTATGATTTTTTGGGTACTATTAACTTACAGATGCACACTAAGTTTATTTTAGAATAGATAGAACGATTTGTTTTGTTTCTTGAACTTCATGCTTAGCTACTCGTGGGCCTTCTGCGTTAGTTGTCCCTAATTCTGAAGGAACACACTAGAGAGAGAAGACAGCTAGTCAACATCACCCACCGCTAACTCTTGGACTACTCTTGTCAGATCGAATAGTGAGATTTGACTATCAATCTTATAACCCACCCACGGCCCAAAGTGCGGAAGGCGATATCGTTTGGGGGCATTAATTGGGCGCGAAACACAAAAAACTCAGACCCACAGTTCAGTACACTAACCACTGGGCCGCATATGGCCTAGCTAGTACGAATAATATTGTGTTTTTGTTTTTTAAATGCTGAGTGACATTTTTGATAAATAAACAAGAATAATAAACTGTAGATAAACAAGATTAAATAATCGAAAGCCAACCAGCATTCTTGGTTATTTGTTCAAATAATTTAAAGTCCTCCTTTACTGAAGACCAGAACACTGTATGACCGACGACGATTCGCAAGACATTTAACTGTTAGAACTTATTCCTTTATAACGTCTAACGTAGTTACATTTAAGAACATTTCGACTTTAGAGGCCCATTCTTCATTTCTTCGAACGTTAGAATTGTGATACTTTCCTAATTACCAGCAATTTTAAATTATTTCACTTTTTTCACAACACAAAAGGATAAAAACTCTATAATCCGAGCGCTTTCGAAAGCTGGACTTTTCTTCTTCAGGAGCATTCTGAGTTTGCCCCTGAAGAAGAAAAGTCCACCTTTCGAAAGTGCTCTAGTTTTGGGGTTTTTATTATTTTGTGTCAAGACTTCTTGAACCTACTTGTTTTTCTGACATCCACTTTTTCATGGTATTGCTTGCCTGCAATTTCTTCGAAGTTGGATTTCTTAGGGCTGTTAGAAGTGGTTTACCATGGAAATGCAAAGTGTAATTTCATTGTTTTATTGTGACAGGTGAAAACAATTAAAGCGTCCTTTCATTGTTTTGCATTGCAGGTATGTTTTACTTTATTTTCAGCACCAATGCTGTTTCAGCGATCGCCGGAACAGTGTCATTTCAGTTTCTGTCCAATACAGCTTGGCCAAATGGTTAGGACACTCGACTCGCAATCTGCGGGCCGCAGGTTCGAATCCCTGTTCCGCATGCTTGCTTTTTCAGCCGTGGAGACGTTATAATGTAACGGTCAATCCCACTATTCATTGATAAAAGAGTAGCCCAATAGTTGGAGGTGGGAGGTGATGACTGTCTGCCTTCCCTCTAATCTTTCATTCTTAATTTAGGAACGGCTAGCGCAGACAGCCCTCGTGTAGCTTTGTGTGAAATTCAAAACAAAACAATCCAATACACCTCATGATAAATTTTGTTACAAATTTTCTGAGATTTTAATGTGTTTAAGCCTTCAAAAGCCGAGCTTAGCCTAATGATTATCGTGCCTGGGAATAGTGCGTCCATAGTCAGTCTTTCTATAGCTTTGCGCACAAATTTTGAAACAAACAAACAAACAAGATAAGCCTCAATCTAGCAGGTGCAACAATTACAAAGAAACTAGAAAGAATGAACGTAGAGAGAAATAGATGTCGTCCAATGTCGCGTTTGCGGTAGGTGTGGTCGTTATCCATTTAAAATCACAGTTTTGTCTGTTTTAGTGGTATCACATGTCTGGGCACGTTGTCCCCTTACTACTTTATGTTAATAAAACAGTATTGTGATTGTGTAAACTTGTGTGTCACATGTCTGGGTACGTTGTCCCTTTACTATTTTATGTTAGTAAAATAGTATTGTGATTGTGTAAACTTGTGTGTCACGTGTCTGGGTACGTTGTTCCTTTAATATTTTATGTTAGTAAAATAGTATTGTGATTGTGTAAACTTGTGTGTCACGTGTCTGGGTGCAATGTCCCTTTACTATTCTATGTTAATAAAATAGTATTGTGATTATGTAAAGTTTTATGTCACATGTCTGCGTACGTTGTTCCTTTATTATTTTATGTTAGTAAAATAGTATTGTGATTGTGTAAACTTGTGTGTCACATGTCTGGGTACGTTGTTCCTTTAGTATTTTATGTTAGTAAAATAGTATTGTGATTGTGTAAACTTGTGTGTTACATGTCTGAGTACGTTGTTTCTTTAGTATTTTATGTTAGTAAAATAGTATTGTGATTGTGTAAACTTATGTGTCACGTGTCTGGGTGCAATGTCCCTTTACTATTCTATGTTAATAAAATAGTATTGTGATTTTGTAATGTTTTATGTCACATGTCTGGGTACATTGTCCCTTGGCCCGGCATGGCCAGGTGGTTAAGGTGCTCGACTCGCAATCTGAGGGTCGCGGGTTTGCATTCCCATCCCACCAAACATGCTCGTCCTTTCAGCCGTGGGGGCGTTATAATGTGACGGTCAATCGCACTATTCGATGGTAAAAGAGTAGCCCAAGAGTTGGCGGTGGGTGGTGATGACTAGCTG